TATTAACGTTTTAAAAATATTTCTTTTACCATTTTTATCGTTATAATTTTTAATTTTTTTAGTGACAACACTCTTAATTATCTAAAACATCATGTTTTTATGAGTAGTTCGTAGCATAAAAATACAATTTTGGACCAATAGCTTATGGTTTATAAGTATTTAAAATGTAGAAAAGTACGCAAGTTGGAGTTATACTGGTATACCTAGCAAAATGTTGATCTATTACTTCCCTTATCTAAATTTTTAATAGGCACATGCAACTAAAAAATTACTTGTCCAAAATTTGAATTTTTAATATAAAAATATTCTGTTCAGAAATATGAAATTAAAAACGTTTGTTGGCATTCAAAATATTACACTTAAACACATTTAAGGTAGTTAACGTTAGTATTTTCTTTAATGCTGAGTGTCTAACAAGCCCGGATTAATATTTTGGAGGTCACACGAAACAAAAAAAATTGGAAATAATAGGCATACCATATTTTTAATGAGTCCACATGCGTGGGGGGCATGCCACACCCCTTTTAACTCATGCTGGAATATAGTAGGAGCAAATACATGGATATATTATGAATAGAACATAAAATATATAAGAATAAAAAAAAACACATATTAATTAACAATAATCTTTATTAAATATAAAATGTATGTATTTTGAATCTCGTCAAAATGAAAGCATCCGCTTTTCAAACAAGACCGTATTTAGACATTTTTATGATGACAAATGGGCAATAATTAATTTCAAATAAATAATATATTATTTAGGTATAACCCAAATATAATTAATGCTGAAATAACTCCCGATCTAATTACGGTCTTGCTATAAGTAATTTATACTTAGGTACTTAGGTATATCAATTTAAATAAATATCATGATTTTAAACAAAAATATAATAAATTTTAAATACTAAAATTATTATATAATTTACCTTAACATATTATTAGCAAACAATGCTGATTTACAAGGCATTCGTCAATAATTTTACATTGCTTATCTATAATATATTTAATCTATGCTAAGTATGTATTTAAAATTCCCTTACTTCATTAATAATAGGGGGTCATTTCCAAAACTCATTAATTCTATTTTTAACACAATCGACTTTTACATTTATTCTTCTTTGCTAAAAATAGCGGCCAATCTAATGGTATCATTATTTTTTATCCAAAACAAAATATTTGTGTGCGAAAAATGTGTTAGAAAATTCCCATTATATTTATTACGATCTATTTCCATAAATTATTTTGGTCAAATCCTGCTATTGCTATCTGTTTCAAAACGGACTATTCCCCGTGTTAATGGTTACGATGTCTGTTTAAATTATTTCAAAATTTACTTATGCCCATGTTATTAGAATAGGTTATAAATATAGAATTTTTTCGAAGCACACCATTTCAAATAATATATAATTAAACATTTTAAAATAAGTTTATATTTTATAAAACATTAAAAATTTTATTTTACGAACTATTATTTATCAACCAAGTTTTCGAGGTTAAAGATCTAGGTATTTACCTCACTCCTACTCTTTCTTTTGACAATCATATTAATACAACTATTGGTAGAGCTCTAAAAGTACTTGGTTTTATAAAGCGCAGCACTAGACTATTTACGTCCATCCCTTGCCTTCGTTCCCTCTACTTCGCTACATTCTAGAATATGGCATAGTTGTGTGGCAACCATATTTGGCTAGAGACCAGTTACGTATTGAACGGGTTCAAAATGCTGCTTATATTCTAAATATTTCTCACCCTCTTCACGACTACACTTGTATTAGGTCATCCGTAAATGTTTCTACTCTTTCCTCTCGTCGTTTTGATGCAGACATCCACTTTATCTCATCTTTACTTAATGGCTCTATTGATGCCCCCGATCTTCTTTCTTCTATTTCTTTTTGTATTCCTGTCTATCCAACTAGAAACCACTCCTTATATTACGTCCCCTCTCACCGTACAAACTAATTAAACTAAATAATATTTCTTCTTATCTTAGTTTTATTGCCACACCACGATTTAAGATAGTATGGTTATTGGTTGCCCAACGAGGTATGATAAGACGGCATTGGATTTAAATCGTACCCCCGTTGCTAGCGCTTCTAGTAGACTATTTTATAATTGATAATATAATATGATCATTATCATAGACATAATATAGATGGACTGCGCGTTCCTCCCCCCTCGCCATCAATAAATTCAGCCATAATAACAAGACATGAGAAGGTAAAATAGCATGGATAAAACATTTTTACTGTTTTTATTCCAAGGTATATTTTGGTTTAAATAAGAGTGATAACTGATAAGACTATTGATTCCGTATTTCCGTATCATGGAGGAAAGCTGTTAGATAAACATTTTTCCATGATTATTTACCTTCTACATAAGTTTATTATTGCTGACATGATAAGGGCTGAACGCGCAGTACATCTATATTATGTCTATGATCATTATATATATTTTTATTGTATATAGGTATAACATAACAATTTTTATTAGTTTTGAATTGAACCAATATGAGCGCTGCATGCGGGGGACCCCGTAAATCACGTGACTTTTCGATTCAAACCGTATGCCGTGTGATAACATTTTTCTAATGGGTCGATGGGCAACCATACTATCTTAAATCGTACTAATTAGTATGCTGGTCACATCCTAGTTCTTAATTTTTCTTTTATGATTATTATTAAGTTATTAGTATATTAAATTTAATATTATTATCTATACTATCAATCATTTTTCAATTTTTCTAACACTTTTAATAACCTGTATAAATATATTACCAACTATGTAAATGCCGACTGGCGTTAATTAATTAATAAATAAATAAATAAGTGGTGGGACGAATATGTTTTTTATTTTAGGGGAAGTGTTGTCGTATCTAAAAGTTGTCTTCATGTGCCTGTCTGATAAGCTAGATTTAAGATATTATACTGGTTAAACAACGAATTGTGAAATGGAGACCGTCCAACTGAAATGCGATAATAGCTTTGGAATTACTGACTGGCCAAATTTAGCGATATAATGTGTTAGACCGATATGATATTTAGTTATACACGCGATTAAAGATAGTATGGTTACACAACGAACCATAATAAAGTGATTCTCAGTTTTCATGTTATCACAACGACTAGCAGAACCGAGCATTGAAGCTCCAATGTTAAATATTGAATCATATAATTGTATGCCTAGAACTTAATTTTTACTCTATGCGCGCTATACTCCGGCCCACGAAAGATCAGTACCGCTATTCGACCAAAACTGGTCCGATTTCGCGCATCTCCCACTCAACCAACCGACAGCATTTCCGCGACTGTCGGTGGGCAATTGCGACGATTGGGGCACATAGTGGGGGAAATTGGACTCCTTATCGTCGCTGCCGGTCATTCTGCAATTTTGGTTTAAACTATTCTGTGATCTAGTAGTTAGTAGTCGTTATTAAATAATAATAAATATTACCAACTTAAATTTTCATTGTGCCAATCAGTTTAATTGCTCTTTTTCTATAGATTAAGCGTAATTCAGTTATTAATATAGACCTTATACTAATAGACAAGAACTGAGTACAACAACAGCATTAGGAGCGACGTACGAAAAAAACGCAGTCATCTAGGCTATCTTCACGAACAACTACAAATATCTTTATATTTATACGTCTTACGAAAAGCGCCCTCTATGTTTCCACGCTCGGTGTGCAATCACTCCTTGTCTATTAGTATAAGGTTATTACATACCTTCTATAGATCTTAGAACAAAAAAAATGTGTTTCCTCAACAATTTGATTTTTGGCATAAACGCGTTTTGGAAAATAACCCCTATTCTTCTTTACATTTTAAGTTTCATTATGTAATAACTAATTCAAAGTTATCATTTAATGCCCCTGCAATGGTCAGTTAACTAGTTCAAAAACAAAGTCCCCAAAATATTGAGGAATATTGATTAACCCAATTAGGTTCCTCATTAATTGTTTGCGACTAATATTGTGATTATTGATCATATAGGTCATATTATGGTCATTGAAGTATTTTCGTTTAGAGTCAAAATTAGTACATGATAAAGGGATAAGCGTAGATTATTTTCTACTATTAAATATCTAAAAAAAAAAATAGATTGAAAAACTCAATGACTAACGATCTAGGCATTTATGTTAATGTCTATAGAAAAATACATTTTGACGGAACTAGATAATGATTAATGATAATGAACTGGGTAAATTGTTATTGTAATAATTATTATTTATTAAGCGTTTATGTAATAAACGGTTTTTTTAAGGACAAGTTTTAATATATATTTAATAAAAGAACATGCTAAAATTGTTATTTGTTTAAAAAATTATACACAGTTAAACTGGTAGATTGTTCAAAGCTAAAATAAAATGAAATTAATAACTTTTATATAAGAAATTCCAAAAACCCGGTGTCAAGAATATGTTCTACTAATAAAAATATTACAGCCTAAGCTTTAAAGTAACATATTAGTACAATAAATTTTTTTAGAAGCCACCCCGACATTGAATTTATACGCATCAAAATCAGTCAAGTTTTAATACTACCTACTGACTGGAAAACGTATAAAACTCTCTTCTTTTAATTATTATAACTATAGGAAAGTTGATTAACAAACAAAAATTAATAGTCTCAGTTAAATTGCTATTAAGTTTAGTCAGCCTTTCAATTAAATAAGTAAAACAACAGTAAGTATACAAATAATAATACTATGATCTTATAGTAAACTATATAATAGAAAAGTCATGCATAATTAATCCTATTATGTAATGAAATAATAATATTATTATCTTTTACACAATAATAATAATTATTATTTTAAGAATGATTATCATGTCAATATGTCATTAATCAATTAAATAATAAAATGTAATACATATATGTAAATAAATTAAGATGTAATTATTTACAAAAGAAGATGCAGTCGAGGGTAATATGATAAAAAAAAATCCATGTACATACAATGAACAATGCTGTAAAAATTAATCATAATAATTTTGATTAAAGAACCTTCAATCCAGTTAATAAATCAAGACATTCGTTTTGGTGGTAATGCCAATCAGATTTCTGAAACAGAAAATTTAAATATTTACTTGATTGTATATTTGAATATATTATAATATAAATACAGCTTCATCTAACACTGCATAATAAACTAATGAAATGAGTGTGGAAAACATTAAGGACTGATCGAATAAATTACTTAAAATGAATTGGAACAAAACAGAATTTATTTGTTCCAAGTATATATCTTGAAACATTATCAATGGGATCGGTAGCGGACAGTTTTGAATGAGTTTGAACTTTCAAATAGTCAGCTTTCAAATGTAAGTGATCATTAGTGTATCTGACTGTGTGTAAAATAAACATTGGAGCGCTCCTGCACGCGCATGTTAAAGTCAAGGACGGGCATTGCGCGCGCTAAACGGTAAACAATTTATACTCATTAGTATCTGTACTTTTTGTTCTTTCTACCGAATAACCTAAAAAAGCGGTAATATTTTAATAAACTGATCTGAATTTGCTTAAATGTCTACTTGAGATCGTTCAGTTAACATTCGAAGATTGCTGTTTTAAATTAAAATAATCAGCGTTCCAAAATTTAAAAAAAAAATGTGGGGTAGGGGTGTAATTGGAAATAGTGAACTTGCCGATCTCAAATCTCAAGTAGACATAATAACGAATTCAAATCAGTTATTAAAAGTATTATCTCATTACTATTATAGTACGGCGACACTTTATGCAAGCTGCTAATACAGATGAGACAACTGTATTTCAGCTGTTATATAAAGAATTGTGAGTACTCTACCTATACTCTTTTTCACGAGAGAACAGGGCCGTTTAGCACATGTAAAATGATTCAATTGGTGCGTTGAGAACCACGTGATCATGCCTACAACGGATTGTTAGTGGGGGATGCGCGGAGGCGAACCAGTTTTGGTTGGCCGCCGGTCCCGTTATCTCGTGAAAAATAGTATAAAATATGTACAGTGTATAGATAAATATCAAAACAAAAACACTGCTCCGTGTAAAAAAAAGGTAAGTATAAAAAAAGGCTCTAAAAGTTATTGAACTATAGATATCTGCTAAAAAAATTGGTAATAGAATCAAGTTCAATTTTTTAGCAGACTATTTTAACATAAATGATATCTCTATAATTTAAAGACTTAGCTACCTATAAAATTATATCACAACTTTTAGAGCCGTTATTTTTTATACTTAGCGTTTTTTTTTACACGGAGTATGGCGGAGTGTTTCTGTTGGGATACACTTATTTTTTGTTAATGCCTGATTATTTCAAGAACATATTTAGATATTTAATTATATTTTGTCTTTATAACAAATCAAAAACATTTGAAATAATTTTAAGCGGGAAAGGAGTCATAGAAACCCTCAGGAAAATTTACCAACATGATGGATATATTATTGGTATGTTTTGGCTAAAACAACTGTCCACCACCGATCTCCTTTAAATCAGTTGAAAATTGTTGATTAGGAAAAATAAAAACATAAAATCTTACTTGGCATTGTGTACTGCAATAAAAAGTAATGAAACAATTCTTACAAGAAAAACTGGAAAAATTTGTACAGTTGGCCGCCATACACTAAAAAAAGATATAACACATTATTTTTGAGTTAGTAAAAATTCAACCTTTTAAGTACCAATATATTCTTAAAATGAATATACAAAAATATTCTTACAACAGAAACAATATCAAATTGATCAAAAGGAACAAATTCTTAAATTAATTGTGCAAGAATAATGAAATGATATAATAACTACAAAATCATATTAAATGTTTCTGCTAGGGATGCAATTTATTAGACTAAAAATCGGAACATTACATTTTAGGGAATAGAATACTAGCCCCAACAAACTGTAAATTATTTTCTGACTTAGAAGTATTCCTCCTCTTAATCTTAAATTGAATCTTAAAAGGCTTATATCTATTTACACAGTCCCAATTATTTGTGTACATTATCCATATCTGAGAAAATAAAATATCTCCTGATATTCTTACTTAGGTCAGTATTATATTCTGATATTCCATATTATACGACTAATTTATCAGTATTTACCGTTTGATTTATAGTATCAGCAGCCTGGTGATTTGGCATGTTAGGTAGTCGAGCATCAGGCAAATCTGGTGAAACCTGTACATATTTAAAATCGAATCACTTTTACATTTTAAACTACATGGAAGATTTTTTAAAATTGTATTAATATAAATTATAAACAAGCAGTCCCTACCCCGCTGGGGTCGGCAGGTCGGTGGTAGCCTGTCAGCATTATCAAAACCCTGGTGTAAGGAAAATCACGATAAACATTACTGAGTTGGACCTCTCTTTGACTATGGCCCCACCTACCCCACCAGCTGGTAAGGTTTGATGTAGACTGCTACCAGTCAAGCGAAGTCATAAGACAGAAGTGGCCAACGCATGGCTTTTGCGACACATTTGATATTATTGATTGGCAAGCTAGCGTCAAATAAAATAACATATTTTAATTTTTAAATTATGTTTTTCAATATTAAATAAATCATAAGTCATAAATATTATATGACGCAACAATTATTTCGTCAAAATAACATTAGTAATGTTATATTATTCGATTAGAATCTATAATCAAGTCAGCAGTGTTCATTATTTACATTATCAATTGTTTTTTTTTTAACTTGGCACAATATGAGAAAAGGTTGGCCACCTCTGCCCTGAGGGAAGGAAAATCCCAAAAACAAACCCTGGCAGAATTTACTTTTACAATCCCACGAGTAGTCCTTAAGGAGATAAGGAAGCTTCAAAAGCGAGCAATCGGCAAACTAAGGTAATGCCGGGGAAAACCATGAACATCGGTATCCTCAGTGAAGACCTTCTGGGTATGTTCCAAGACTAAGTCAACTCGATGACGCCCTTCGCCAATAAAAAGCACAACGTTCAAGCAGCGCATATGGAGAAGGAAATCAAATTAATCACAACACGAAGCACTCAACAATGCCAGAACGAGAAACAAAGGCAAAAATACGAAAAAATAAAAACAAAGACAGGCTGAAGGAACATAATAAATAAAGCCTTAAAGAACCACCATGTTTCTATCTACAGGTCAAGGAAATAGTAACAGCAGGACAAACGGCCACGGGTGAGACTCGAATAGGAGGGAAACGGAAAATACCAAACATTATGTCTGAGAAATTCTTTATTCTCTAATATTTTAAATATTCTTTCCAACTTATTATATTTTCATAACTTTTTTTCATCATTGTCTTTAATACAGCACACATTCTGAAAATCTTAGTACCTTTTTCCTCTTAACAAACATATTTAATACTTAATTAGGTATTACATCTTTATATATATAGTTCTACTGTACGTGTATTGTGACTAAACTCCTAAACGGTTGGACCGATTTGAATGAATTTTTTGTATGCGTTTGGGTGACGCCCCGGATAATTTAGATTCACAAATCATCCCCCTAGGTCCAACCAGAGGATGTGCTCAAACGGGGATTTAGAGATTTACGGGGGAAAAATTGTTCATAAATGGTCGCCATGGGTTTTAAAGCTATTATAATAATAATTATTGGCTGCCCTGAAATCAGTGTATTGATTCAATGCAGCTAGTGTTCTATATATTATAATTTTATGTTCTCCTTTTTTTTATTCCCATCTCGAACCATTTTTGATTATCTAACTGTAATTTTCGCTTCTTTATTGAGTCTTTTGAATTTCAATCATTCTTATCTTTCTATGTTTTGTTATTTTTAAAAAGTTTTTTTCCTTGAATTTTTTTCCTATACCCATAACCCTCATAAATACGTATCCTTACCCCGTAAAACACAGTCTAATTCCTAGGTATACGCTTACAAACAATAGTAACTGCCACATATACAATAACATTTGCTGCTCTATTCCCAATCGTATTTATACTTACCTCCACGTTTCATTGAATTGGACTTGCATTCATTATAAATTATAAGATAATAAAATAAGCCTATAAAATGATGATGATAATTAATTACCTGAGTATTGTGATCGGGAGTCTTCAAGTTATTCTGACTTGAGTAAGAATTACTATAATTATAACTTTGATGCTGCATATAGGTGTTCATTGATGCTACCATTGCTGTGTCACTTGCTAATAGATTACGAATTAATGGATCTGTGCAAGTTGTTGGATATGTAGGTGCATTTGAATATTGAGGATGTGAAGTTGCTGATGGAATGTTATGACTATAATATGTCGATTGTGAATACGACGAGGCAGTAGAATTTTGGTATTGAGTAGTGTAAGTACTAGATTTACTGCAAGAAGGATCACTACACATATTGGTATACTTGTTTGATGGCCATGTATTTGCTGCCTTTGGACGCTGTGAATTCGTTGCAGATGGACTCTGATGGTGAATAGCCCACTGATTATTTGAATAAGTTGGATGAATAATAGAATTTCTGGTTATACTAACTGATGGATTTGTACTCCTCGCATCTGAATAATGTGTAGTATTAGAAAGTGATGGCAAACCAATAGGAGCCTGCGTAATATTGGAATGCATATTATCGTAATATACACTTAAACTACGAGAGGCTACTGTTTGCGAAGTTACCGGAAGTTGACTACTGGTATTACTGGAAGAATAAGGATTGTGATATAGACTCAAATTTTGAGAAACTGTTGGTGACCCTGAACTCTGAGGAACCGCTGCTGATGAACTTGAATTATTAGGGACTGTTGATGATGAACTTACATTCTTAGAGACTGATGAACTTGAATTATTAGGGACTGTTGATGATGAACTTACATTCTTAGAGACTGATGAACTTGAATTATTAGGGACTGTTGATGATGAACTTACATTCTTAGAGACTGATGAACTTGAATTATTAGGGACTATTGATGATGAACTTACATTCTTAGAGACTGATGATGATCTCGACTTCTGAACGATTGCTGATGAACTATAAGTTATGTCAAATTCTTTAGGATTATTTGCAATGGTAAAAAATACGCGTGGAGATTCAACTTGTGTTTTGGATTTTTTACTTTTTGTCGGTTCATCATTTGTTGGATTTATTTTTACACGTGAGCGTTTATTAACAGATGATGGTACTTTATTGTTATAAACAACTGTAGTATTATTTTGGACAATGGAACTTTCAATACTTTCATTAGAAGTTGATACGTTGAATTTTTTCATAAGGTCACTGACATTATTATTAAACCAATTTAATTTATTAATGAATGAATTTGAATAACTAAATTGAGGACGTATCTTTATTTTTGGTATTTTAGGACTAATTGGAGCAGGACACACTTCCTCTGTATTTCCTGATGTAGTATGATTAATAGTATCTATACAGTTGTCATCCGTTTTGAGTTTTTTGCGTTTAGGTTCATTCGAAGGTGTGTCAATAGATATCTTAGGTATTACTTTGATATCATTCATGGCATGTACGTCATCAATTTCCAAGAGGTCATCAATTCTTGTCAATTCAAATATACCACTCTTCTTATGTGACTTACTTGGTTTCAAATCTTGATTAATAAATAGATATGTACAGCGTTTTACCATTTTATAGTACGATGTTGCATTTCTTATAACTGACTTATTAAAATCTATTTTTAATTCATTTTCAGTATTCATAAAGATAAAAGCGACAATAAAACACCAATCGAAGAACATACTAGGTAAAAACCAAGTTCTCCATAATGTATTATCATGAAATTTAATGTATTTTTTAATAGCATCAAGGAACACGATCAATTTTAATTTCAATTGACACGGAAGAATGGATGATTTTTGAGCGATTTCACGAAATATGCAAATTAAACAACCTGTAAATTGTGCCATATTATATTCGATATCATTAAACATATTAAGGAGTTTTATGATTAACTCTCCAACAAGTTCTGATTCAATAGTTTTCCATAATGCATCTACTTTGTATAGAAAATCATTATTTAAAAAATATGTTGCCAAATCTTTTATTATAGAATTTTTAAATACCTCATCATCCGTGTTTATAATTTTTCTAATTTTAAGCACTAAATTTGTATGGTCCAATATTTCCGTTTGTTTTTTCGAATCATCAATATCCGTTTCAATTTTCAAATCGGCCAAATCTTGATTACTTGTAGATTTTTCTAATTCTAGATCTATAATTTTACCGACAAGATTACTCGTTTCCAATATTGTACTACTGGAAGATTGAACATTTTCGTCTATTATTAATTTTCCAACCATAAATTCTCCAACGTCTTTTTCAATCGCAGGTTGTTTTTTCGAATCATCAATATTTGTATCAATTTCAGAATTGGCCAAATCTTGATTACTTGTAGATTTTTCTAATTCTAGATCTATAATTTTACCGACAAGATTACTCGTTTCTAATATTGTACTACTGGAAGATTGAACATTTTCGTCTATTATTAATTTTCCAACCATAAATTCTCCAACGTCTTTTTCAATCGCAGGTTGTTTTTTCGAATCATCAATATTTGTATCAATTTCAGAATTGGCCAAATCTTGATTACTTGTAGATTTTTCTAATTCTAGATCTATAATTTTACCGACAAGATTACTCGTTTCCAATATTGTACTACTGGAAGATTGAACATTTTCGTCTATTATTAATTTTCCAACCATAAATTCTCCAACGTCTTTTTCAATCGCAGGTTGTTTTTTCGAATCATCAATATTTGTATCAATTTCAGAATTGGCCAAATCTTGATTACTTGTAGATTTTTCTAATTCTAGATCTATAATTTTACCGACAAGATTACTCGTTTCCAATATTGTACTACTGGAAGATTGAACATTTTCGTCTATTATTAATTTTCCAACCATAAATTCTCCAACGTCTTTTTCAATCGCAGGTTGTTTTTTCGAATCATCAATATTTGTATCAATTTGAGGATTGGCCAAATCTTGATTACTTGTAGATTTTTCTAATTCTAGATCTATAATTTTACCGACAAGATTACTCGTTTCCAATATTGTACTACTGGAAGATTGAACACTTTCGTCTATTATTATTTTTTGACTCATAATTTCGCCAACGTCGGCTTCCAATACAGTACTCTCGGCATTTTCAACAAATTCATCTATTATTAATTCATCATCAGTATTCTGAGCCAATACTGGACCTTCAGAATTTCTATTTGGAACTGTATTTTCTCCATCAACGTTTGTTTCAAATGCAGTACTATTGGCATTTTTTAAATTTTTGTCCATTAATTTCGGAATCATAATTTCTAAAACGTCGGTTTCCAATGCAGATTGTTTTTTCGAATCATCAATATCTGTATCAATTTGAGAATTGGCCAAATCATGATTACTAGTAGAATTTTCTAATTCTAGATCTGTAGTTTTTCCAATAAGAGTATTCGTTTCCAATATGGTTCTGTTGGAAGATTGGACATTTTCGTCAATTATTAATTTTGGAACCATAATTTCGCCAACGTCGGCTTCCAATACAGTACTCTCAGCATTTTCAACAAATTCATCTATTATTAATTCATCATCAATATTCTGAGCCAATATTGGACCTTCAGAATTTTTATGTGGAACTGTATTTTCTCCTTCAACATTTGTTTCTAATGCAGGAACTTTAGAATTTTTAACAATTCCGTCAATTTTTAACTGTGGAACTAAGATTTGTCCAACATGATAAACCGTTTCCAGTTCAAAACTTTCAGCATTTTGAATGCTTGCGTCGGTATTTAGTTGTGAATTTATCTCTCCAAGATTATTCATATATGGTGCCGATATTTTAGGATTTCCAGTTTCACAAACATTTGGACCTTTTTTAAATTTTTTATGAACCGAAATTTTTAATCGACTAGTTGCTGAATTTGATTTTTTAGCACAAAATGTATTTGACTCGGGATTATTTTTAGTTAAATTAGAGTTTATGCTGACAATAGCACACGTTTCATCTGGTTTAGTAACCCCTAAGCTATTGAATTTCGGATTATGTAGGCTATAAGCTTTAGTTATCATACAACTTTTTTTACCAATTTCTTCATCATCTGAAATTATTGTTGAATCAGAATCAAATTCTATTTTAGATGTTCCAATATAATCATTAAGTTTTGTTGTATATAGGATTTTTTTATCCATTTTTGAATAATCCTTGCCAAAACATATTAAATTTCGATCATCAATGTTTTTTTGTAAACGGATATTCATACGTTTTTTATTCTTAAGTTTTTTAACAGTTTTTTCAACAACTTTACGTGGCAAAATGGATAACCTCCTAAAACAGAATTTTAAAAACCTAATTTAATTCTAAGTTTATACACGGAATGACACACAATATAAAATATAAGATTCAATTTGGAAGTAAGATATTTACCTTTCACTAACTCCTGAAGGTAAATTAGGTTTAAGATCAAGTCTTGCCCATGGGTCGGTCGAAAGTTGTTTCATCATAGCTTTACTCTTTTCTACAGATCCAGTTAAATCGTAACATTGTTCAAAAGTCTAAAACATAAAATTAATACATTCATAAGTACTAGATTTATGTTTAAATTAAATACTAATTATCATAGCTTAAAACCGATATACTTTATAACGGTTTACTTATAATTCAGTGGATTCGATGTAGGTTATGAATGGCTTTTATATTTGGATTTTGTTAATTGTTTTTAAAAAACATTTGTTTCGAGCCCAGCGGTAATAATTATAAACATTATAAAAACGTACAGTTGTTATTTAAAACAAAAAGTTTTAGTTATTTTGGACTAGACTTCAATTGAGTTTATTAATACAAGTATGCGTCTTTTTGTAAAAAAAAATCATTAATTTTATATGTACGCGAATGGTTTCTAATAATATAAAATTTTCAAATATGCCAATAGTCAACTTGATGGAAACATGTACCTACTAATCCATTTAACATTTTAACTTTTAAACATTATTTATAAACATACATTAATAGTAGTGTCAATGTTCCCACAAAAAAAAAAAAAATTAAAATTATGCTTGAAATATCGATACGTTGACAACTTACTTATCAGGTGATTTGACTAAACCTGTACAAGTTTCACAAAATTGTTTGTAAACTTAAGGGTCTAAGAATTGTATAAATATTTTTTTAACAACCATGATTAACTGTTTGCAATTATCATGGGCTCGGTCAATTTTCGGGACATCTTAAGTGACAACAAAATAGTCTGTAAGAGTGGGAGAAATTGGGCTTCCATACTGTCACCGACGTCAGCCAGATGCACGGAACGAGTACGGTCTTTCGTGGAACAGAGTATAGTTACATTATTCTGTGATGTGTTTCAAGCATCTTATATTTTTCAAAGTAATGCAACTTACAAGAAATTAAAACAAATAGTTATCAAATTAAGTATTAGAAATGTTTTTTTACCAATATATATTATATATATACCTACAAATATTTTGTCCGAGGCTTAAACATGTCAAAAACGTCATATCATTAGATTTATCCTTTTGAAATTGTTATGAATTATTTTTAACAATAGAGTATATGTTATGTTATTCTAAATAAATATATAAATTATATCTACTCTTCGTTAAATAAAATTCTTTAACTCAATAACTTATTTTGTGAAAAGATATTAAACCACGGAAGAAACTTTTTTATTATTATTAACATCGGTTTACAGATGTTTTAAGTACCAACTTTCAAAATAATTTGTTTTAAAGAATCTAATGAATGACTAAATATATTTTCAAAAAAATTATTATTAAATAAATATTTAACTAATAATAAATAATGATACACAAGGATACACAAAAAAAGGAACAAATTCGTCTTATTAAAAACTAAAAATTACTTGCCTTTTTTAATTGCGTTTCATTTCCATCAAATTTCTTTAAATGGTCTTTGAGATGTTTGTTAACGTTAAAAGATCCAATTTTCTTGAAATCTAGAAAAAAAGTAAATAATGCATTTAAAAATAAGCGCAAGTAGGTACTAGGGTTTTAATTTGACATTATAGCATATATTTAAAATATTATAAAGAGCATTTCTGATATTGATAGTATAATGGGTATCCAAAGAACTATGATAAAAACTTTAAGACTATTCATTATATAATTATTCATTCTAAATCGTATTATATAGGGAAATTCTAAGCCCAGAAAAGGGGATCAGTGGGAAGGGGTGGAATGGTCCCAAATCTATTGATTTTGGTCATTATCTTTTTACACAACCTATTCTAATACAAACATTTAAGACATTTTTAAAAAAAATTAAATAAATTTCGTAACACGAAAAAATGACTAAATAAGTTTATAAAAAACTGATGTTTAATAACAAGATAATGGTTTGAAAATAGGTAAGTGAAAATGGGAGTGGGTAAAAAATGTAGTTTAGTGTAGTACGTGCTATTACCATGTGTCCATAATTATAGAAGGGAGAGAACGTAACTTTCTCGAGCATCCAAATGAACGTACACCGCCGTCTCGAGGTCAAATTCCTCTACCACCATTTACATGTACATACTACACGGTGGTGGCGGTAGCGTCGTCGTCGACTACAGTGGCGTATCTACAGGTGTGATTGGGGGGTCGATTGGGGGGCCCTAGACCAAATTTTGTACACAATGCCGACAACGGCGTAAGACGCGAAGCGCACGCGCTGGAAGTGGTGGGAATGCGCAATAGTGAATAAATATTGAGTGGCACCCACATGCGTTCTCTCAACGAACGCAGTATAGTGTCCAACACATCAAAAAGAATTTGTTACTCAGGTGGTTGTGGCAACTATAGTAGGTAGTAAAGTGTCCACGTATCTATGTTTAAAAATTTAAAAATTGTGTATAATGTAATATGGTATAATGTATATTTTTACTTTTAATTAAATAGTACAAAATTATAAAATTTAATACAACCATAAAAAAGTATTAATATAAAATGTTTGAGCTATCATAGTTATGTACTAATAGCTAATAAAAATAAAAAATTAAATGTTTTGAAATTAGAGGGTTTGAAGGTTCTCCACTAAGAGATGTTTGTAATCGTTCGAACCCAATTGTTCTATAATCTATAAATTTTGTAAATAATATCATCAATAACTTACTTAAATACAAAAAAGCTTTTGCTCGCGTAAATTCAACATTTGCATATCTGGATTCCTTCTCAGTTGCTACAACCTAAAAAATAAAAAATAAAATATTATAGTTTTCGTCAGATCGCGGACAATATGTGACAGCATATTATCAAGTAGGCAATGTGCAAAAATTTGATTGGATGCATGCTTGTACCTGATCTGCCGATTAACCAATGGCAACCAAATAATAAATATATATTTCTACTAATTATTTTTCATATAACCAATAGGAACTATTATATAAACAAACATTTCAACCGTAAATCTCAAAATCCCTGCTTGAGCAACTCCCCGGGTTGAACCTAGGAGGGTGAAAAATACTTTACGACCTATTCGTATAACCTACCAAAGAAACAAAAAAAATTTCATTAAAATCTGTCAATCAGTTTCAGAGGAGTGCTCTTACACCGTATAACACGAAATTTTTTTCTATCAGATTTTATCTAAACTATTTTATTTATTGATTTTTTTCTTATTACTGCCATATTGGTTTATTTACTAAAATATACATCAATATTTATTAGGTAACTGTAATTGACATTAAATCTATCGACTTATGACTATATGAGGTAGGTTCTAAGTACTAGGTACCTACTTTATTTATTTTATTAATATTTCTTATAAGGTAAGGTTGGGAGTGTTGGGAGTATACGTACAATCTTTATATTTTCCATTAACTATTTAGTATCATGTATAAGCTCATATTTGTATTTAATTTAAAAACAAAATTAATGTTTGTGATTTCAACTAGAAATCGATTAATTATAGCTATCGGAGCCGATTTCAGAACAAGAGGGTCACTAACTAAAATAAGAGGCAATAACACTTGTACTTAATGATTATTTTGAAATCAAAAGTAAAGGATTTCGAGTAACCTTTTTCAAAACAAAATTGACGAATTGGAACAATTCGTGTGCGTTCAAAAATAAATATTGATCGACCAAATACTTAAAATGTCTAATGTAAATCGCTTGTTAGATAAGTTTGGAGACCCCCAACCTTTATGAAAAAAGCCCAAACTTACCTATATTCAAACGTGACACATCAAAGCTAGCAAGAGCAACTTCACGCAAGTCAACCTTATGAAAATAATTATTTGAACTTCAAAAATTTCGAGTTGATACAATATATTTTTGTAATTGAAAAATGAAAAGTTAATTCGCGTTTTACCCAAAAAATATTTAGTACTCAGAAATCTCCGATAAATAATAATTTTTACAGTTTAATTTAAATGTAGTAGCTTAAAGGTAGTAGATATAACCATATTTTTGTTTTAAATAAAAGTTAGATTATATTTACGATTTTACAGTAAATACTTAAAAATATAGAAGACTTCAACTTTTTTTACGACTTTAAATACTTCAATGGTTGTTAGTACATGGGGCTTGCTAATATTATATAAATGTTAGTCGATCCCCCTAATACATAAATAATCAAGAGACCACTATAAAGTAGATTATTCCTGTTGTATTATATATGTTATATTAAACCATAATATCTAATGTGATTAAAATTGAAATATATTATATTATAATTATTACCTATAATGCACCAAGAATATTTTCGAGATTTGAATTTTTTTATTATAGGCCAGTTAATCTTGCTCCTACTTAGTTAAATCTGCAGCATCAATAAAATACCTAAAAATAATAGTAAATCCCGTGGAATACACAAAAATACCAAAGTAAACCGCAAGTACATTGGTAACCTAATGGTTGAGGAAAGGGGACAATAGGTTACCATACATGAAGAAGCTTGAAACACATACATTTTGATATGTATTCTGGAATCAGTACGAGACACTTCCGTCAAGTAAATAAGTTTGTTAGCAAATAAGGGTTAATAAATTCATACATAAAACTTCGGATCGAAAATTAGAATCAAGATAAAACCACGGCGCGACGATCAGCGGTGTCACCAGATGAGGACCCATGAAAAGAACGAACTCGGTACAGCGGATGACAGTGTAAAAGAAACTAAATGAGACAGTATGGCGTTCCGCGGTCTAAGCTCCATGGAACGTGAATTTTTTTTTATGAAGTTCTAACTTCAAATAATATGCCAATTATTGTGATTTTGGAAATTTTTGTCAAAATTCTAACTTTAGATAGGTACCAACTAGTAAAATTATTGTGATTTTACGCTCAACTTTTGTTAGTGGTAAATAAAACAATGTTGGCAAATTTTTTTTAAGGATAAGTATAGCAGTGTTTCCTAACTTAAATTATGTTTAAATAACAAACGAATTAATTTAACTAATTTTTATTTTGCATTTTCTGTGTGTTTAATGTAATTTATGTAGCTACTCATAAGGTAATATTTTGATGTTGTAGCCTATAGGTCATTTTAACAACTATAATTTTAATTTTAAAATCAATAAATAATTTTACTAACTTTAACAATTTCATGAGCGATTTTAAATATTTAGGTAATTAATGTATAGCAATTTTTAGAGTATTTTACGTCATAAATATATATTTTGTATGGGATTTTTAAATGGTTTTAATAACATATTCAGCATCCGAGCCGTATAAAATACATATTATTATTATATTGATGTACCTAATTATAAACTATTTATGTAGGTATGTATTCTCATGTATATTACCTTTATTTACCTATTTACAAATAGGTATATAAATATTTATTTAATATTTGAATTCAAAAAAGGTATTTGTAAGGTACCTAATTCACTCAAATTAACAAAGAATACATTGACTTGAAATTTGTTTTTAAAAATCACATGCCTAATACATAGGTTACTAAAAACAAACAAACAATGTAATAAGTATGTATAGCAGATAATACGTAAATATCTCATAGCAATGCAAAATGTGGTTTTCGTGTTATTTTCAATATCTTTTGGTAACATAATACATACAAATAAGTAAAACAAATTAGTATATTATAAAAAGTACCTATGGGCTATGGGTACTTATGTAATAAGCAAGTTACTACGTAACAATAAAACCAATTTCACGGGTGCATAGTTAGCATAATATACTGTAGACCGGCATAAATCGGATATTAAAAACGGAAATAGGATTTCCTCCTGTTTAACATAAGGAGACAAGCTCACTGAATAACTCAGGCGGAAGGGTTCAAAAATAGGCGGATGTAATATTTTACAGAAGCACTGAACACGACGATATTCAAATATAAAAGAGTAAAATGATTATTTTAATGGAATAGACCATAGATTAATATTTTAGTAATACGCAGAAGATATTGGGAAATCGGGAATGCGTGGGCTGGAACGATGATCACACAAATTACATCCGTGAGAACCGAGATATAGTATCTATAGGCAAGGGGTACGGGGAACCTGGAGGGAACCTCATATATAAGGGAGCCCGAATCGGCCTGTATTCAGACGTGTACGACCACCCATAGAGTAAGCACTTACACGCCACTCTGTATAACATTATTTGGACTTTGTCAAAATTATTGAAGTACTAATAATAAATTCACGATATACAACAACTGTCTACTTTATTTAATCAACTAATACGACGACATCATCAGAAGAAGTGTCTGCTACCTGCAACGTTAATATTCTAGTAGCCACTTGTCTTACTATTATACTACAATAGTAGTCACCTGAACTACCAGTATTACACTTATATCGATATAGTGACCAGATATAATTTTTTTTCGTAGTAATTACCGGTGTTACCGAAAAACCCATATAAATAGGTACCATAACATTTTTCAAATATTTTGATTTACTTTGAGCTCTTTACGGACATTTTCAGTTTCCATTTTTTTTAGTTTTTTTCTTTAAATATCAATACAATTTTATTTGTTGGATACAAAAGCTTAAAAATTTAGTAGAAGGCTCCTAATATATTGTTTCAAAGGGCGATGAAAAATATTAAAAATCCAGTCTCAATTTGTTTTTATAAGAATTTAAAGTTCAAATATTGATAAAAAACGTAAAAATGACGAAAATTTCTAAATTATTTTGAGTTACAAATTCATAAAAAATTATATTTATAAATCTAAGATTTGAAAATGTAATACAAGATTCATCATAAATTTGTCTACCTTTATAAAAAAAAAAAATGTCTACAAGAAAGTCAAATAAAATTTTTATGAGAGTTTGAAATTCATATTTTTACAACATTTGATTTCACTCGATTTCTCATGTAATGTTTTCTTATTTTGTTGTAATTAAAAAACCAATGACTGTAGATCGAGCTGTAGATACTTGAATATTTCTCTGAATGTTTATATTAGCATTTTCTATACACGATAAAATTTTGAAATTAATTTGACTCTTTTTAAGTTGTTTACGAACATTGTCAATTTCAATTTGTTTAGTTTTTTTTTCTATAAATATGAATAACATTTTATTTGTTGGTTAAAAAAGTTTGAAAATTAAATAGAAGGCTCTTAGTATATTGTTTCAGAGGCAGATGAAAAATATTAAAAATCCTTAGTCACAGTTTTTTTTTATAAGCATTTAAAAATCGAATTTTTACAAAATGTATCGAATTTAAAATTAAATAATTATTTTGTAGTTAAAATTTATAAAATGTTCAACTTTTATATCTAAGAATTGAAAATTTAAAACAAGATTCCATGTAAGTATAGTTAATTCTGGTACCAAAAAAATCTAAAAAATACATAAGTGCAGTTTATTTTTATAGTCATCTTAAATTCAAATTTGGACGAAATTACATACAAAAAAACCATTGAATAACTATTTTAGTTATTTTGTTGCGATTGAATAATATTATTCGTAGGTACTTGAAACTTCTAAAGTATACTTTTATACATCTATGATAGTACCACGGTTTGTGTTGATGTATAACGCGTTTTAAGTACCTAATGGATATTGTGTTATGATTAATTTGGAATTTATTATAGATACCCCTTATAGGTCAATTTTTTTTAATACCATAAATACGTATATAATAATATATCTTATACCTAGACCGACCTAGACAAACACACCGTCGCCGCTCAGAATCGTTCATCTAATACAATGATATTATATTATTGAATTCAAATTTAATACCATCCATTATACAGTGACCCACTTGTGACTAACTGTACAGCAGAGTACTTTTTTATAATATAAACTATACAGATTCATTTTTTTTTTTATTTTTTAGTTAGAAACTTTTCCTTATCATTTTTTTTAGCACAGTTATACAAATTATGTGTAGTACCTACTAAATCATGTAAAAAGAAAGTTTTTTGTTTTTAAATTTAATTTTAATTTTTTAAAAGCTTATTTACTGTAAGCACTCAGTCCCTAAAATTGTGTGTAGTACGAAAAGTGCAGTGTGTAGTACGAAATTTAAAAGTGTGTTATTCTAATTAAACCTTTATAATAATATTATGTATAATTGGTACTTATGTGTTATCTCGACTACCCAAATTCCAGACGGGAACAGCTCGTCATCATTTAGATTCCTATCTTACTGAATTTGTTTGGCGACAAAACATTGGAGACGATACACCATTTGATCAAATTCTAATGGATCTTAAAACATACTTCCCTCCACAAAAAAATTTGTAATTACCATACATATTATTTTTACAAGATTTTTTTTTAAGTACTTATATACATTATTCTGTAATAATATTTTATAACCGTAAAAACGTAAATAATTATTAATTACATGTTTTATTATTATAACATATTACCTATGTCCCGAGCTATGTCCTATATTGTTTATTATAACTTTATTATAACTTGTGGTAACCAAATTGTGGTAGTCGAGATAACACGGTTGATGATAATAGGTAGTCTTGGAAATATTTTGGTAGTCGATATAACACGGTTGTGCACCCAAGGTAGTCGAGATAACGCGTAAGTACCGTATAATTTTATATCTTCACATTTTTTAAAGATTTTATTGGTTTTTTTGTCAAACCATATTTTAATTATTAAAGCAGACACACAGTAAACAATATTTTGTGTTGTTACGTCTTATAGGTACACTTATTATAATTATTATTATTCATTGTTATTGAGAGTAGTTATTTTTATTATTATCATAGCTTAGTAATGAACGGTTGTATCATCTTGGATAAATTTTGAGTGTTCAAGAAGTCACACGTGCAATATACAAGCTATAGGTACGGGACCCGTATCGGACTTACCCGGTACGTACCTAACTATTCGATACGTATAGAATTTTTCTTCTTGAAAATCTTGACGCGTGTAAAGTGAATAGCCTGTACGATCACCGGTATCGAAATTTTAATTACCGCCAGTCCTACGTCAAATAATAATATTATTAATAGCCGAAAAACTAAAAGTAGTATGTAGTGATTGTTACCATACGAGATGGGATGTGATGGAACGTAGAAAAGTAAGCGGTTCTTTGTAACCTGTTAAATACGGTTGGTGGGGGGGAGGGACACATGGTTTGGAAACCTCTGCAGTCCAGTACACAACGGACGGCGGCATTGTTTCCCGCGGTTTACCAATGAAAACAATGGTCACGGACTAACCTAACATCGCCTAACGTAGTAACGTGTTGTAGCTCACAATGCACACAGCACATGTCATATTTCAAATATTTCAATGTTTGAATTTGACCGTCTACCGGGAATACAGATGCACACGTACGCATAAAACAAATGAAAACGATGACGATTTATTTTGTATATTTTGCATTCACCCACCGTCGGTGACGATCGACCGAGCAGTACTTTGGTATGCGCTAATTACGATCCAACGACTAGCACACAGAGGGAGCGATATTATAATATAAATTTTTTAAGTTTTGTGGTTTTGTGTCGTCGGGTCATTGTGGGGCCCTAGACTTTAACGGTCGCGGCGACACGACGTACTGAGCTTCAAAAAAATTTAATCTGATACCGCCATACACAGCACAGGTCGTGACATCGATAAAACCGGTCGATCTGTATTAATGGACTGCACCCAGGCTTATACACTAACGACAGTACCTATCACAATAACACTTTTATTATCATCTTACCTTCGATTGGTTGACTGCACTTTCACCGGAATGTATTTGGAGAGTACTTAACGCAAGGTCACGCCGAGCTGGCGTCGCTCCGTCGCCGTGTGCCTTGTAAATCTTTTTCCTCTCTGGTTCGGCGCTGCGAGCACTTAAACTTTGACGGGCTCGTCTCTTGCGGTTGACCGCACCGTCGCGCACGAAAGCATTCATTGGATTACGAAAATAAAAAAACGTCTCACGCTGATCACAAGTCCATAATATTGTTTGCGGAGCGGTAGTTTAATGGCGCGATATAATTATTGTTAGGGTAAAAAATAAAAAACTCGAGGATTAAACATAGGTAGATTAAATATTATTATAATGAGAATTGAGCGTAAATAAATAAACACGATTGTGAATCACATATTATTCGTTGCAGTCTTCAATCACGGTATTCGATTATTCGCGTTCCGTTGTGTTTACACGCGTAACCGGCTGAAATCATTACGGCGGCGGCGGCGGCGGCGACGACAACAACTACGGAGAAACGACGAAAACGACGGGCAGCGCAAACAAGACTGACGGTCGGACGGCGGCGGTCGACACGGAGTACGTACTACGCGTTTCTTGGCACTGCGGACGACGGTTAGCCGCCTGGCGAACAACCGCGAGACTGTCCGATAGGGGCGCGCGCGAGCCGGTGCCGAACAGACACGCACGGACAGAGCACGAACGAGAATAATATACGACTGCTATGGAATTCGGCGCCCGGCGGTGATCTTGAAGAGCGGTAAGAGTGGCGGCACTCCCCACCCGCGCACAGCCACGGACTACCACGGTGTAAAGAGATTATATTATTATTATTATTTAGTTGGGTTTTTCATTTTTACTTATTACTACATGGTACCACGGGACACGGGTAGACCGTCAGTTTCTTTCGCTGCTATAGACGAATATAATATAATATTATTACGATGTCGTGACTTCCCCCTCCGCACTACCCAACAATCCTTAATATATTTTTATTATACCAAACATTGTACAATCAATGATTAAATCAATGGTACTGGTACAAAATTATATTATTGTAATATGGGACGACGCAATTAGTATTATAAAACACGCGATAACTAATGATGATAAACAATATCAAACAATTATTATTATAATTACAATTTAATACATATTAAAATTTATGCAACGTAATAATATCATAATCAATAATTATTATTAAAATTGTATTTTGTGTAATTATCAATAATAGGTATATTATTGGATCGAAATGCGAATAATGTATCAACAAGTTTGAACTAAAAAACCATTACATTTTTAACTATTAAGAAAACCTTTTTAATCTCTCCGTTTCCTGTTTCATATCTATTCTAAAGATGATATTTTTTATATTATAATGTTATTTATAAATCAATAGATTCTCATTAATCATTAATCATTACTCATGTACTTATTACTTTCTAAGTCCTATAGATTCGGTTGATCAGAATTATTCTAAGTCCAAATAAATAATTAGAAATGCTTTGCACTTGTACTAGCTTTGACAGAACACGTATCAATATGGTAAATTCGGGTCTCTTCTATTGGCGATTGAAAGTGATAACTGATAAGATGTAAAGGAGAGTGGAGACGCTGTGTATACAGTATACCTATCATTTATATGTTATTTTACTAGTTCCAGTGGCGTCATTTGGGGGGGGGGCAAGGTGGGCATTTGCCCCTGTCTGATTTTAAAAGAGGCCCGATGGGCCGGTGCCCAGTTGTTGTCATTTTACAATAATTATTATATTTTATTATAGCGCAAAATCATGCCTATCTTATAATATTTTCAGAAAATTGTATATTATATAGTATGTACTTCGAAATTATTGTCACAATTTTACATTTTTACTAATAATTGATAGTTGGAATATTTTTATATTTAGAAGTATGCGGGGACTTACACATTGTAATAACTAATATGTTGGTATGTATGTTTGTTTGTGTGAGTGTGTCTTGTAAACACATAATATGTGCACAACAATAATAATAATGGGTATCGTAATCCCGTATAGTTTTATTTCTAAAATCTAAAATTAATACCGATTGGCATTCTTATTAATTGTCATTGATCCAATGATCCCAGACTTCAGTTAGCTTGCGAAAGTCGTGTAATTCAACTATTCTGCGTATTGTGTTAATTTAGTTGAGTTTAAATTTATTTTTTCGTTAACATTAATTTAGTTTACATTAATCTTTTAATCTGGGCAAAATGACTTAAACAAATAAATGGGTGGTGCGGCTAAAAATATAAAATTACCGCAAACCACTCAAGAATCGAAGACAATTTCAGGTATGTTTAATAAACTGACAAAACTTGAACCAGTAAGCAAGCAATAAAAAAAAAATATTATAATTAAAAATAATATTAATTTGTAAATATATCGTATACCTATAGAGTAAAGACTATAAGTGATGAATCAAGGAAAATTGATTTATAGATGATGGAGTTGATATAAAATTAAAAAAAAAGAAGATATCCTTCAATAAACTACTAATATTTTTGTTTATCTATAATTAATATCGCCATAATAGTTTGTAGACTTTTAATTGATATAGCTGGTAGGTATACAATTGTGTTTTATAAAATATTTTTTAGCTTATATATAAATTTGATGTAAAGTAGATAGTTAATAAAAAGGGTACCATAAAAAAATGTAAGCAGATAATATGCGTTTGCGAGCGGTTTTTTTTACCCATTCGGGCTGGTTAAAACCTTTGCCCCCCTCTATTGAAAACTGAAATGACGCCACTGACTAGTTCCCCGTTACAGATCCACCATTCCACCCCCCGCCGGCCTGATAATTGATACGCTTTCAATTGCCAATAATATAGGATCTACCATTCCTAATAATAAGTGTGCTGTCCTCATTATTTGATGAACGTGCGTTACGTGCGTATGAGGTCCAGCCGTCCAGGAAATGCCATCTACCCACGCCTGTATAATCTATAATGATATTGTGAATATCCTGTACAGCTGCGCTATGGGTAGTACTGTGCGTTGTTAATATCACAAATCACAATAATATGTATAAGCCATTCATATATAATTATAAAGAAATAGTGTTCGGTCATTTTAATTTTTAACAATACGCAGTACTTTATAATAATCACATTTATAAGTATAAGTACCTATTTTATAATCGTTTCCTTCCCGAGGACAATGATGTTTTAGAATTATAATATGGTGTTTTTATATTAATATATGTATTCTATAGAGCTAATGGCTATATACAAATACAATATATAATATACTGTAGGCTCATGTGTCAGAATCGGAACCTAGTCATCCTTCTAGGATTTGGCATTTGACATTAGAATTTAGAAACTAATTGATTACATCTCAACAATAATTCTCAAACGACTTAGACCAGAAAACACATGCAATATCCATGAGACGACCATATTGCTGAGTACTGACCCTACTCCGCCCCAACACATAGTCATAAATCATAATACGTAATATATAATATACTATATGTATATATATTATATCAGCACACACATAAGATAGCCAGGATGATGGCAGCGTTACAACGGGACCGGGACCCTGTGAGAGAAATAGTTAAATACTTAAATGTAATAGTCGCGACATCTGGGATGGACCACGTCATATAATGGCAAAAGGGCTACCTCAAAGAACTAGTAGAATATATAATATACCTAGGTATTGTGGGAAATCTGCAGGCATAGTTTTTCCACGATTCTTTTTAAGGGTGTTTTTTTTTTTTTTTTTGCAGCAAAATGTAATTTTTGAAGGATTTCACATTCCCTACACTGTAATCATAACTCATACATTGTTTTAATAAATTATAATATATATTTTATAATGATAATATTTATATTAATAACGATTAATTATTATAATAGTATTCAGATAATTATTATTGAAACATTTCACAGTGCTGTAAATTCAAGGTGATCATAAAATAATTTATTGATAAAGATTATTATCACCAGTTCAGTATAGAGAACACGAACTAAGAATAGATATAGAACGAAATACGAACATAATATCTTAGTAGGTGATAGAGTCATAGAGAACGACAATTCTACAATATGATGACACGCATCAACAACGACAACTGCAGTTATACATAATATATATAAGCTTATCTACATTATATATAATTTTATAATACATATATAATATATATAAATATAATGTTGTTTTATTTTAGGAAGAATAAGTACTTACCTAACTATATTTATTGAATAAATTTGAGTAAAAGCATTAGTTAAAAATCATTATACAATTGATGATGCAAGTAATACAAGTAACGCAGACGACAGACCTATAATATATAATATTTCTATACTTAAATAAAACCACAGGCGACTGGCTGTATGGAATGTGGGGTGATTCAATATATATATATATATATATATATATACGCACTCCTTTTACACAACGCGACACGTACAACACATAAAATACAATATTCAACACCTATATTATCAGACGTTTAGTAAAAACAACACAATCAATAAATATTATCAGCGGTGCCAGACAACACCGTTGTAACTCATATTCTAACATTATACTATTAGACCCCTTCAATAATCTACGATCAAGACATTAGGTAAAAAAAACACAATAAATTACCAGTGTCATCTTTGTCACACCGCACAAAATAAAATAAAATCATATACACATCAATACTTTAACATTACGTATTAATGGTAATCGGAATAAACATCCCTAGGCAAAAAAAAATCTCCGGGAAAAAATTCCTCGACGAACAACCCCGGAAAAAAAATCCCCAGACTGCAACATACTCAGAAGCACATGCAAATGGTTGAACAAAAATATTTGTTAAATGTTAATTAATAATTAGTATCTACAATTACCACATTATTAATATTTAATTACAAATACGTATATATTATATTATATTATATTATACTATATTATATCATTGAAAAAAATGATATATAGTGATAATAGAATATTGATGATAATATAAATAATATTGCAGTTTAAGATTGAAATTATAATGAATGTATAACGTACCTACAACACTACCTACCTATACTCACGCATCACCATCAGAAATATAGCATATAAAAATATTTCGAATGATCGATACGTCAAATAATACAGTTAAAAACACGGTATACAAAAATATTATACAAAATATAGGTGGTAATAATTTATAATAATAATAATAAATGTATAA